AGTGCTTCAAAATTTATAAAGAGCTGTATAATGGTATTATTTTAATTAAGAAAGTACCCTCCAATTTAAGATAACCCTTTATTTTAAAATGTTAACTTGCAAAAGAAAGAAATAGAAAGGCAATTTGTTTATGCTATAGAAGAATTCATCACTGAACACAATAAATCACTACAAGGTTCAGCAACTCAAATTAAATCTAGAGCAATTAAAATGTGAGTCAACTGTCAAAAATGTGCTCCACATTTAATTTTTTCAGAAAGGTAGATATTTGAATCAGGCCACAAAATCACAATCACAAAGTCATTCCACTGAATGCACTGAGAAGGCCTTCACCTATGTAACAAAATCAAATGTTGAACAATAAAAAGATGAGTAATTACCATGAGTTGGGGGGTGGGGGTGGAGAAGAGATGAACAGGAGGAGCACAGAGGATTTCGAGGGCAGTAAAACTCTTCATTACAACACTTAATGGTGAATACATGTTATTATATATTTATTCAAACCCACAAAATTTACACCACCAAGAGTGAGCCGTAACGTAAATCAGGAACTTTGGGTGATAATGATGTGTCAATGTAGGTTCATAAATTGTAACAAATGTAACACTGAGGTAGGGGATGTTGATAATGGGAAAGGCTATAAATGTGTAAAAACTCACTGTACTTTCTGCTCAATCTTGCTGTGAACCTAAAACTGCTCTAAAAAAATAAAAAAAAAAAAGAATAGTCAATATTTCAAAAAAGCAGATGCTTCAAAGTTTATCTGGCTCCATTTTACAACCTGATATAATGCAGCATGCCCCATAGTTGAAGAGGTGAGCCAGCACATGTAGGAAATACTACAGTTGAGTCTTGGTCTACAGGAAAACATGTGATTAATCAGGACACAGCACAATCAGATGTATGCAAGAATTCATAAATCTGTTTTACTGACCTACTGTTTATGGCCATAAAGAAATATGAAAAAAAAACAGAGGGAGCAGCTGCAAATAGGCTCAGAATTATTTGTACCACACTCGACAAAGTAAAATATAAAAAGTTTCAGAATTTGTTAGGGTAGCCACTAAAATCATTTTCACGCTCTCTTAAGGTCAACAAATTATCACAGGATCCAGGTAGACTAAAAAATTCTAGGCAATTTCCTTTTTTCTTGCCAAGCCTACCTATAGACCATCAAAGATGGGACATTACAAGAGTCAGCTACTTTTCTAAAATGGGTTATCAATTTACTGATCCCTGTTTTTATGTCTTTACATGGGTGATGATGATAATCAAAATGTATCTGGCAGGCAGATCTATTCAAAAAGGTCACCAGCACAAACCACCAATTGGAGACTCAAGTAAATTCGCAAACCCTCATTTTAAATGTTAATCTCCTGGAAAGGTTGTCATAATTAGTTAGCTTTGAGCTCCAACCCAGAAAAGGAAGGTGAGGCTGAAGGGAGGGTGGGGGAGAAACAAGAAAGGCAGCAGGAGGGAGAGGGCAGGTGAAGGAAAACAAGTACCAGAAATGCAGAGAGGTAGAAAGACACCAAAGATAAACTACCAACTGCTATCTACTAGCCATTTTCCCTCATAGCAAGACTACTAATAGAGAAAACAAGATGTTGCTGCTATATATGTTGAGAGCACTATTTTCTTAATGCAAATTTATCAAACTATTAAATGTAAACCAGAGTTATGCATGGGCACTGGAGAAACTCTAGCTTCCTGATAAGTTTCTATCTACTATAGACATCATATGATTAAAAAAAAAGAGAGTCTGCTTCACACAAATCTATTAAAAGAATATTCAGTCCAACCGGTGTGGCTCAGTGGTTGAGCGCCAACTCATGAACCAAGAGATTCCCAGTCAAGACACTTGCCCAGGTTGTGGGCCCCATACCCAGTGGGGGGCAGGAGGAATTGGCCATTCAATGTTTCTATCTCCTTCTCACTTCCTTTCTCTATAATCAATAATTTTTTTAAAAAATTTAAAAAAAGAATATTGAACTAGAACTTAAACACTTGGTTTCTAGTTTGGGTTTTGACCCTCTTAACAAGTGGCTTTAGGTCTGTCAGTAAACTTTTATGAGTCTTCAGTCACTCAAACAATAAATAATTCTTGAGTGCCTTAAAAAAATTAGCTATTTAGAGTTTCGCAAACCTGACTGCAAATTTAGAAGCACTTCGGAAGACTTCTTTAAAAAGTGTCTGGGTCCCTGAGATTCTAATTTAATTGGCCTGGGGTGGGGCCCAGAGATAGTTTTGTTTTGTTTTAAAGAAAAACACTCTTGTGTTTTAATGTGCAGCCAAGATGGAGAACCACTGGCCTATTTTATTATATATATATGCAAGGAACAGCAAAATAATTCACAAAATCCTCCCTGCTTTCTTTGAAATTTATCAAATTCCCCTTCTTATTCAATTTTGTTTTAACCCAGATTCTCACCACCTCACTTCTAGATTAACAGAATAGCTTCCTATCCATTTTTCCTTTCTTCAATCTCTTCCCAATCTAGTAAACCATTATATGGTAATCTAAAAAGTTTGGTTCTGAAACATTATCCCACTGAAAGTCATTTTTAAGTATAGTAATATCAACAAACAACTGTGTTCATCAAACAAAGGATACACAATGTATATATGTGTATGTGTATTTGTGTGTATATGTATATCTATGTATGTACGTACGTAAAATTTCAAACATGCTCTATTTTTTTTCAGTTCCAATGTACTATTTTCATTTATATGTAACAAATACTAATCTCCTTACACACTGAAACACTGCCTCTAAATAGTTCATGCCTGAATTTTGTCAAAAAATGGCAAATGAGTTACATATTTCTCATCTGAATTCCAGTGTTCCCATAAGGAACATACATACATTCAACTGAAAAAAAAAAAGTAAAATCAAGTAGAATTATCTCAAAAAGTCCTGTGTTACTCTAGATCCTGATAAAGTTCATGATAAATGAACACTTTACCAAGAACAAACATGGTTCTGGTTTCTGTCAATGCCTGCCTCAGAAAACCAACTGAAGGCTTAAAAGCCAACTATTATAACCACATGATATTCATATTTATGAAAAAATTATCAAGTACAACTTACGCAATGTGTAATGCAAAAACTAATCAAGTATATGATTTATTCCCTGCCTTTAAGCAGGTCTCCATCTCCTCAAGGTCACCAAGACACAAACATAAAAAGAAAATAAAGCCAGCACTAGCAAGTAAATGGTAAAGACAATAAATACCATGGGAATTCAAAGAAACAGGAGACTGCTATGTACTAAGGGAGTTGGAGACAGTTTCCTGGAAAAGCTGGGCCTTGAACAAAATTAAATAGGTGGAGGAAAGAAGTAAATCCCGAGCATGTGGCTGACCTTCTACAAAGATGAGGCAGAAATTCATAAAATATATTTGAGTGACAGAGAGTTAACTTCGTTGGAACAGAGGGATCCATGTAGGAGCTTTGGGTGAGGTAAAGTTGCAATAGTAAATTGGAGCCAGGCAGAGAAAGCCCTGAATGCCAAGCTAAGATGCTTAAACTCTGTCCTACAGATAGAGAAATCCTTTCTAGTTTATAAAGAACAATAAGAAAACAATGTATCCCAATAATTACACAGTCTGAAACCTTTTATCTTGAAGCCTTTGAAGAACATACCAATTTGTATAATATCTTGCCAATATATTCATAAATATGTGAACATACTGTTTAGAAAATCTGTTCAGAATGAAGGAGGAAATACTCAAACATGCTTTCCATAATGCAAAATCAGTGATCAATTACACATTTATAGTTCTTAAGATAATTCCTAAAAGAAAAATTAATTGGGTGGAAGCCTTCAGTTTTAGGTTTTCCTTCTCTCCCCAACCTTCTCTAAACACATACCTTGATTTAACAGCCAAAAATGAATAGATTGAAATTATGTTATTATGAAAGTAAGAAGTCATTTATTATTTCTCATTATGGGTGAATTTACTTACTACATTGTTTCAAAATTACTACATCTATTAAGACAATTTTGTCCATGATTTCCTTCAGCAAAACAGATGAAAAAAGACATATAAATAACAAATTTAAAGATTAGGAAAAGCAAAAAAACCTTTCATTACATCAAAAAGCACCTAAAATATTCAGCATGGGTTTATAAAACAGGAGGGAAAGAGAGTGGGTTCATAACAAAAAATGCCATACACAACAAAGAGTACCACAGAGTAAGTATATGAAGAACATTACAATAGCCAATTTTTCATCCCAAAATGATAAGCCATTAACCCACAACTCCGCAAACAATGAAGTTATGTTTCTCAAAAATGCCCTTAAAATTGTCTATTTCTGCTATAAAAATTAATACTAACCTGAAACAAGGATTCTTGCCCCTGGTAACCAGGCATGTGATTGATGATTTAATTTGCAGCAAATACTAATTTAAGCACCACTACCTTCTCAACACCAGAAAAATCTCGGTGTTTAAGGTATACGTGACAAGAAGAGAATATTATAAGATTATTAAAACACACACAAAATAAGAACACAAAAACGTGGCAATACTGTTACTGTACTGTGAAAAGGGATATACCATTCTTGCAGGTACGTATGCCTTTAAAGAATACGTATAGATTATGATTTTACGTACTGTCTTTTCCCCTCCCTCTGGGAACGCCAGGAACATCCAAGAGAGTTGGAAGAAGTGCATTAAGGAAGGTGTCAATACCTCCCTCCCCACCCCTTTCTGGGGAAACTCACTTTAACAACAATGCTCTTTCACCCATCACATCCCACACGGTTTCCATACATCCTTCAATCAGCATTCCTTTCCCGCCCCCGCCCCCGCCCCCCGCCCCTATTCCCTTCTCTGCCCTCCACATTCACAAGCTGCTCCGACTTTGTCAGTATTGCCGCCCCGGTGCACCCGCCCACACCAGCAGAGTCCAACAACGCAGCCACCCACTCTCCCCACCTCCTAGTTCTTAGCCCACCTTTCCCGCGACACCCCATAGCCCCTTCCTGTCACCTGCTTGGGTAGTGTCCGTCAGGTCGTAGCCATTGCCCGGGAAGTCTCGGAGTTTCCTACCACTGAGGCTCAGGATGCCGGAGTTGCCCGCCTCTTCCAGGGCCCGGTCCAGGCTCCTCGCGGTGTGTTGAGGCTGCAAGCTCCCCGGGTTCCACTGCGGCCCGTTGGGGAAAGGCTGACCGAAAAGAATCGGTACCGGGATGGGCAGCACCAGGGTCCCGCCACCGCCGCTTCCCGCTCCAGCTCCACCACCTCCTCCGGCCACGCCACCGCCACCGCCACTTCCACCTCCACCATAACCGCCGCCCCCACTGTTACCACCACCTCCCTGACTTGCCGCCATGTTCCTGGGAGAGAGAATAGCCCCCGACAATACTCTCAGCTTCTGCTTTGAGTGTAGGGGGTTCTTAGAACGCATGCGCGTGTTGGGGGCGGGGTGGGGGGTGGCGAGGTAGAGTGGGAAGGAACCCGGGGGCGGGCTTGGAGGAGGTGTTGGGTAGAGAACTGACGATGTTGAAACGCGCAGAAAGAACGCTTGCTTTAAGAAATGTGTGATCAGAGGAAGGATGCTAAATCCTGGTTCCGTTGCTTTGGGTACCAAAATCTTGCGAAGTGACACCAGCTTAACTATAAGTCATTTGTCTATATGTTCCCAAATTTCTAATTTGCTTCACCTTTTTCGTTCTGCGAAACAAAGGCAAATATATTAGATGGGATGAAAGGGATCTGTTTCAGAATATATTGAAACAGCATTTAGGACTGTCACCTTATTGAAACGTTTACCGCAAATGCTTCAGGAATCGTTTACCAGTGTTAATACCGAGAGAAACATTGGGGATCATTTGAGGATGAATATTGGTGCAGAAGAAATGCATTGAGTTTTAAACACATATGAATTTGCCATAATTTAGAATTTCAAAATAAGAACAGGTTTTTCAAATGTTTTCAAGGAAACCTCTCATTTTAGTTGTGTGTGTGTGTGTGTGTGAGAGAGAGAGAGAGAGAGAGAGAGAGAGAGAGAGAGTGTTAGCTGAACTGCTGCCTTCAAAAACTTGGAAAAGTTCTCTGCATTCTGTTCTATCATTCTTTAAAGTTTTGCCAAGATCACCAAAATATCTTGAGTTTCTTCTCATTGTATCAGTACAGCTGATGGAGAACTCTTTGATCATGAAACAATCTCAAACTTTATTTTTAAAATACAGATTTTTGGTTTCAGGTGGAATTCTGAAAGTTTAACACTGGGCATATGAAGCTAATCAATCTTGGAGTTTAGGAGTTCATTCTCAGAATCTGAGTCCAACTATTAAAACCACTGCCATCCCACCACCCCTGATCAGAGTTATTGAAGTCTTTTCACTAATAGCCAGTAAAATTACCCAATAAAACTACTACAATGCTTGGACATATTCAGTTATTACTCATTTGATTATTATATGAGTCTGTTTTACATTCATTTTAATTTCAACAATCTATCAAACAATCTAATTTTCTTAGTTAAATCTCCACAGAAGTTGATCTGCCCTAGACTCTACTTCTGAAAAAAAATTACAAGGAAAATTACAACTTGTCTAAATTGCTTCATGGCTATACAAGTTAATTAAAATGATTATGTTGCAAGAAATTACATTAGCTATAAGCATAACCCATAGAAGGAACAAAACTGAAAATCAGACTCTTCAATGAATTAGCAAGTAAAATCAAATTATTTAAACCCACAGGTATCAGAAAGTAATGTTTTACCTTATACCTCATCTTTCTTATATCAAAAATCACAATAGCCCATCCAGTGTGGGTCAGTGGTTGAGAAGCGACCCATGCACCAAAAAGTTACTGGTTCCCAGTTGGGGCACATGCCTGGGTTGTGGGCCTGGTCCACAGTGGGGGGCATGCAGGAGGTAGCCAATCAATGTTCTTTCTCATTGATGTTTCTATCTTTCTCTCCCACTCCCTTCTCTCTCTCTAAAAAATTAATAAAGAAAAACAATTTTTCAAAATCAAATTAGGTATTAATTGAGAACTTTCTGAATTAAGAGGGATGAAAGGAGAAACGAAAATCATTGGAAAAAATATTAGGAATGGAACTATTTTAATAATTAGCCTATAATAATTTTTGTGATTATTTTAAAAAGTGTATTAGACTCCACAGAAAATATGCCCTCAAAAATCAGGATGCTTGTCAAGTGAAAAAGGTCATGTACAACCAAATCTAAGAAGGGAAGTAACTTTAAAAGAATTATAAGATAATTTAATAAGGTGATGAACAAAATAGAACTAGAGACATACAAGTAGGGTTCAGACTGACAAACCTCAGAGGAGGAGGGCAGGGGGGAGGGAAGAGATAAACCAAAGAAGTTATGCATATAAGCATATCCAATGGACAAAGACAACAATGCTGGGGGGGAGGTAGGAACAGAAGGAGGCTGTCAATGGGGGGGAAAGGAGAAACATCTGTAACAAAAATAAATTATTAAAAATAAATGTATAAAAAAAGAACTTCAAAAAAACCCAATAATTTGCCATGGCTGGTTTGGTTCAGTGGTTAGAGTATCAGCCTGCGGTCCAGAGAGACCATGTTTCGGTTCCCATTAAGGGCACGTATCTCAGTTGCAGTTTGTCTCCAGCCCTGGTTGGATTGTGTGGATGGCAGCCACTTCATGTGCACTTTTCACGTCAATGTTTCTCTCTCTCTCTTCCTCTCTCTCCCTCCCACTCTATCTGAACAAAAAATGGAAAAATGTCCTCGGGTGAGGATAAAAAAAAAGAATGTGCCCTGGCTGGTTTGGCTCAGTGGTTAGAGCGTCAGCCTGTGGTCCAGAGAGACCTGTGTTCAGTTCCCACTAAAGGCGCATACCTCGGTTGCAGTTTGTCCCCAGCCCTGGTTGGTCATGTGAGTGGCAGCCACTCGATGTGTCCCTTTCACATCAATGTCTCTCTCTCTCTCTCTCTCTCTCTCTCTCTCTCTCTCTCTCTCTCTCTCTCGTCCTCTCTCCCTCCCACTCTATCTGAACAAAAAATGGGAAAAAAAATGTCCTCGGATGAGGATAAAAAAAAATGTTCTTAAAAAAACACACGATAATTTAAGTAAGAAAAACAAGGAATCTACAAAATAAACTAGGTATATATAAAAATCAGGTAAAATAACACATTTGACAAGAACACCAAGGCCATAAGGAGTGTTACAAGATAAACTGAGGCATAGTGAAAAATTTTTTATAGAGTTTGAGCATTTATCTATTGGAATTGGGCAATGCTAAATCAGAGGTGATTATGAGTGCTCTGTAGACAGGAAGAAGGTGAAAGACATGTAGACAAAGTAAGGAAGCAAAGAAAGGAAATTATTTTATTGGATATAGCTTAAAGCCTGTTTGGCTGTTTATAATTGGTTTACCTTAGCATTTTGATTTCATAGCCTTGAGGCATTTACTATGGACCTGGATTTTGGTTTGCTTATGCAGGCCACTACAGCATTAGAACCAGCTCAGTCTAATGATCTCGTGTAATCAATTTAACAGGAGGCAAAAGGTTTAGAAGAAGGAGCATGAAATTTAGAAATTTGTTCCAACCCCTTAATTGCCTTTGTAATACTTGGAAAAGTTACTTTAGTTCTCAGTTTCTTCATAGGTAACACTGGAAAATAACAATAATACTTAATAATAATAGTATGTAAATAGTGCTCACTACTTACCAAAACTGCTCTAATTGCTTTACATACAAGGCAGGAAAAGTAGGTTTATAGTTGTTCATGTGGAAGAAGATATGCAGGTTATGATTTCTTTTAAAAAATTATTTTGCTTTTATTTTATTTTTTAAATATCTTTTTTTTTTCGATGTTTTTTAGAGAGAGATAGAAACATTGATGTGAGAGAGAAACATGGATTGGCTGCCTCCTGCACGCCTCCCACTGGGGACCGCACTCACAACCCGGGCATGTGCCCTGACCGGAAATCAAACCAGGACCTCTCAGTCCATAGGACGATGCTCAGTCCACTGAGGCACACCGGCCAGGCACAGGTTATGATTATTACAAGTTTTAACTCAAAAGAATATCACAGTAGTCCTGGCTGAGTAGCGCAGCTGGTAACAATGTCATCCTGATATGCCAAGATTGTGAATTTGATCCCTAATCAGGGCACAACAAGGATCAACAAATAGCCCGGCCAGTGAGGCTCAGTGGATTGAGGGATGTCCCATGGACTGAGGTCCCAGTTCGGTTCCTAGTCAGGGCACATGCCTGGGTTGCGGGCTGGATCCCCAGTAAGGGGCGTGGAGGAGGCAGCTGATCCATGTTTCTCTCCCACATCAATGTTTCTATCTCTCTCTCTTCCTTCCTCTCTCTCTGTAAATCAATACAAACATATTTTAAAAAAGAATCAACAAATGAATGAATAAATGAGTGGGACAATAAATTGATGTTTTTGTATATCTCTCCATCTCTCTCTCTATATATATATCTGTCTCCCTCTCTAAAATATATTTTTTAAAGCATAAATAAGAAACCACCTCAAAGCAATGAGTGATGGTTCATCTTTTTAAAAAATGAATGTCACAACTGCATAGTGCACTTAGATCAATCTTGTTAGTGCTGAAATTGCCAGCCTTCATTATTTACACATTTTTGTCATCTAGTTGCTATAATCAAGCACAATTTGGTACAGAGTTCTTACATACTTTTGCCTATTCCTATATACATAGTCATTTAATCCTTATAAAAATCCTGTAAAATAAGTATTACTATTCTTTCATTTCATGGATGAGGAAAAGTAGTATATACCTCACATAGGATTTTTGTAAGACTAAATAAGTTCACAAATGTAAAGAGATACTATAATACCTGGTATTCATTCATTCATTTAATAAATATTTATTGAGTGATTACTCTGCCAGGAACTATTCTCTAAGCAAGTAATAGTACTCTGTTTAGTGCATCCTTATCTGACTCAAGAAAAAAAATAAAATAATAAAGAATATACCAAATGGAGGAAGCCAAGGGAGAAACCAATTAATTCCTTGATAATTGTATCCAAAGAGATAGCTCACATATTACCTGAAATTTTGTTTCTGTCTATACTAGAGAATATTTTACAATGATTACCACTGCCATGTTTTTCTGATATGGGCACATTGGTCGTTGGTTAAATTACAGTCAATACTCAGAATTACAACCCAAACTAACAAAATGAATGTTGATAAATCACCAGGACTAGATGACATATACAAAAGATTATAGAAGGAAAATAAGAGGTTTTTAAACAAAACATGCAGCCTCTATTAAATAAAGCACTGGCAGGCTACAAATGTGATTTGTAATGAAAAGAACTCTAGAAGGGACTTCTAAAATTCCTG